TATTCTAAACTGATTTTTGCCTCTCTCCACTCAGGAGAGAAGATTAAAGATGTTATTTCTCATTGCTTGCAGGCCTTTGCCTACATGGGCGTTCCTGATGCCCTAAAAATGGACAATGGCCCTGCCTATGCCAGCAATCGCTTTGCTGCCTTTTGCAGGGAACATCACATTGTCCATTCTTTTGGTATTCCTCACAACCCCACGGGACAGGCTATTGTGGAGCGCACCCATGCCACTCTCAAACAGTATTTTAAGAAAATAAAAAAGGGGGAGTATGTTACCTTCCCCAATATTCAGTTATCCACCATACTTTACATTTTAAATTTTTTGACCATAGACCGTAATAATTTGTCTGCTATGGAGAGACATTGGACAAACCCTCCCAGTCCTTGGGATGGGTCAGATGGAAGGATTTGATTACAGGAAAATGGCAGCCACCCACCCCCCTATTAGCTAAGGTCCGAGGGGCTGTTTGTGTTTTCCCTACAGGAAGTGAGAAGCCTATTGGGTCCCCGAACGGTGCATCAGGCATGTCGACTCCAATACTACTCCGGATACTAGGAATGCTCACCATGATAAAGATGATCCAACCATTGCTGAACACTCAGGTAAGGGAAATATGGGCGTTGGTGAGGATTCCCCCCATGTTGATGCCAGTTAGTCATTCCAGCTCCCTGTTCATCAAATTTTATAACACCAATAATACATTGGGAGTGGCTGCTGCCAATGAGATTAAAAAGTCAGAAACTAGACATTCTGAGTTTCCCCCTCCTAAGCCTGATACCAGGGTCAAGAAGTAGGGAAACCCAAGAGATTGCCAGCTGCATACACCTTTAATCCCAGTGGCATACGCCTTTAATCCCAACACGCCTTTATGAGGGAACATCCTATGTTGAAAGTTGGATTGAAAATGGGTGAATAGCCGGGCGTTGGCGGCACACGCCTTTAATCCCAGTACTCGGGAGACACAGGCAGGCAGATCTCTTGAGTTCAAGGCCAGCCTGGTTTACAGAGCAAGTTCCAAGAGAGCCTCCAAATAATACAGAGAAAAAAAAATTGGTAACAAGCTGGGCGGTGGTGGCACACGCCTTTAATCCCAGCACATGGGAGGCAGAGGCAGGCGGATCTCTGTGAGTTTGAGGCCAGGCTGGACTGACAGCCTCAAACAATACAGAGAAACCCTGACTTTAAAAAAAAAATAGGTGAAAAAAAATTTGTAACAGTAAAGAGGTTCTGGTATTAAGTAAAGAAAAAGAAAAAGACAAAGGTATATAGAATGGAAATTTTTGTTTACATTTAAGTTCTATTTTGTGAGTCATCTCTAAAAACTTTTGGCCAAAAGCCTGGCCTCTCCACCTTGCATCTACAGAGTTACAAGGAGTAGGTACCCCATGAGTGTAGCTCAAATGGAGGAATGATAAAGAACATACAGGACTTTTTAACCTCTTAGTTCAAGGATTGGCTGGAGTTGTTCTTTTACATAGATTTCAATTAAGGAAGCTTCATTGCCACAGACTAATCATGACCTAGGGAAAAAGGATGACTGAAAGATGCATGTATGTTCTGAACGTATGGTGTGGCCACACCGGTACGTATGAAATGTGATTGTGAATGCGTGAGTGTGAACTGCTTATATGATTAAAAGGATACTTAAATCCCTTCAAAAATAGTTAAGAAGCTACCTAGATTGCTTTAAATATAGCCAAAAGGAACATCCAGCCAGTCTGTTAATGTTTTAACAGAAAAATTTAAGATGCAAATGAGGCCTTGTCAGCTAGTGAGAGCTCTACAGGTTAGATTGGGAAAGACTGCTCACAGACTTCAAATAATTTTCAAAAATTATTTGGACACAGTATAGTTTACAATCTTTGAGTGATTTTCAGATGTTTTTGGGAAATATTTAATGGATATGTCCTTTTTAATGGGCATCTACAAATAATCTAAGTAGTAATCCCAATTTACCTAGATAGTCAACCAAGGAGGGTAGACAAATCCTTCTACTATTATGGTCCAGCTTCAACAGTTCAAAAAAATTTTTTTAGAAAATAAAAAAGGGGGAATAATGTCCCCAGTCCCCATATGACTCATCAAATAATACACTCCTCATTTAAAAATTTTATAATGTGAATGCCAGTGAGCTTCAGACAGATTCTGGCATGATGGAACTTGAGCAACTATTGCTCAGGTCAAATGGAGACATCCATGCACTAGACAGTGGAGAAGACCCTAATTTGGGGTCGAGGGCATGTTTGTGTTTTCTTGTAGGAAAAGAATAAAAGCTTCGGCATGGAGCAGAGAAAAACTGGACCTGAGACCATGGGAGCCCACCTAAGCCAGTTTGAGTGAGATCTCCTAAATCAGTGTTCCTGAACTTTGATGTCATCCAATCTAGAGCCCAAGAAAGAAAGAAAACAGTCGGTTCGAGATTTCCAGTTTCTCAACAGACCTGCTGCATCAACCTTCCGGACCCATGAGTTTTCATCGTGAAGCCAACAGAGAAAAAAGGACCCATTTAAAACATTTGGACATTGGTATGGACTGTGATGAGGGGCAAAAGCCTCTTTTCAGTAATTGAACAGGACATGGTCACTTGAAATATCAGACTTGATAGTTCCTGTTTCTGGAATCACGACTAGGCCAGTGTATTTTTCTAGAGAGATGCAACTTGTCCTAATGCGACAAAAAGGAGACTTTGACTCAAGTCGCATAATCAGCTGACGTTAAATCAACAAACTGCATCACCACAGGAACAAATTGGTGCTCTGTGGATAGTGCAACAAGCCTATTGTTCATATTTTTCATAATGCTACATGTGTGATATCAATGATTGTACCTAATGTATCTGTGCAAGTGCACTTTCTAAATGCTTTCCTGAGCAGATCTTGGAACAATTGTAAACTTTATCAAATTGTAAATGTAAATCACATGTGGGTTACCCTTGTAACAGAATGTAAATCACGTGCATGTTACCCTTGTAACAGATGAAGGCTGGTAGAATGTTATGGCCCAGATCTGGTGATGGGTACGGTGATGGAGAGGCGCTATGTCAGTGGGGGTCCTGGAAATGGTGGCAGTGGCGGTAGGCATTCTGGCTTTATGCCGAGCTCAAACGTGCCTTGTACCAGAGGCAAGAGATCCGTAACCAAGTATTGCTTAGTTTAGCCCATGGCAATCCCGATAGCCATGAAGGTTGGTTACAGATGATTTAAAGTTGGGGCGCTCTGTTGACGGGCAACCTGTGGGGAAGACCCCTCCCGCCTAAGACAGGGGTTCAAGGTCCCCCAAGGACGGGAAAGGGAGGGTGACCCTACTTGACCTAAGCCAGGAGTGCCTCATTTAAAAATAAAAAGGGGTGAATTGTGGGAACACCGGACCTTGAGCAGAGACCTACTTCCCCTTCTGCCTGGGAGTAGGCAGCTGTAAGCAATGTTTACTAAAAACATGTTTACTAAAAACAATACAAAGCCTGGGGGCAATAAGTTCCTGGAAAAGGCCTGCCCACAGAAGCCACCCTGACCTCGACCTTGTCCAAAGACTAAACCGCCTCTTCTGCCACGCCCAGATCAGTTTTTGGTGTCAGAGCAGAACCAGCCAGGGTGGAGAGAGCAGAAGCTTCTCTGGTGGGAGCTTTTCTTAGGAAGTTTTCTTGAACCTTTTTGGGGCCTGCTTAAAGTTTTCTTTACATCGTTGAACAAGTCTCTGTGTTGTTAATCCCCGACACCCTCCGCACGTTCTCGGACACAGGCCGCGCAGCAGACGTGACAATCAATCTTCCCATCCCCTCTTCTAAAGATCCCTGAGTCTTGAGGGAAGGAGTACATGGTGGTTTGAATGACAGTAGCTCCCTATAGGCTCATAGGGAATGGCACTATTTGGAGGTGTGGCCTTGTTGGAGGAAGTGTCTCACTGGGGATAGGCTATGAGGTTTCAGACAGGCCCAGTGTCTTCTTCTCTCTTCGCTGCCTGTGGATTCAGATGTAGAACTCTCAGCTCCTTCTCCAGCCCATGTCTAACTGCATGCTCCCACGTTTCCCACCATGAAGCTCTTGTCCTCACAGCTTTAGGTTTCTGTGGTGGCTTGAATAAGCCAGCTCCCATTAATCCAATTAAATGTTTTCCTTTATAAGACTTGAAGTAGTCATGGTATCTCTTCACAGCAATAGAAAACTAAGACAGGATGTGACATGAATGTCTGATTTTGAGATGAGTACTCTAGTCACCTGCACATTGATTATGGTGGTCTCTTTTTAACTGCTATCTACTTCAAGGACAATTCTTACATGTACACTTACAAATAAGTAGGCATCAAGCCTAATCAGAGCTATAGACCATAATCTGCAACTTCCTGATATTAAGTGTTTGTTCTCCAGGACAATATTAACTTTCCCAATTCACACAGCCAATAGTAGAGTCATGAGTCTTACCCAGATATTCCTACTGCAAAACTACTGTCTTAATCATCATGCTACTAGCTTAGGGGGAACTATGCACATGTAGACACCTCCCTAACCCACCACAAAAGACCATGTCTCAGCAACGACACTGTGAGTGGCACCCGCTCAAGAAATGCAGAATCGAGGCTAGCAAGATGGCTCAGAAAGTAAAGGCACTTGTCACAAAGTCTGACAACTTCAGCTAGATCCCTGAACCCACATTGTAGAAACCAGCTCTCATAAGTTGTCCTTGGAACTCCACAAATGTGCCATACTATGTTTATGTGTGTAATACACACACACACACACACACACACACATACACACAAATACAGAGCAAATAAATAAATGTAAAAGAAATTCAAAGAAAACACAAAATTATTACCTTACAACAGTACCCCAAAAGATATTGCTAAGTAACAGCTGATAATTCTTTGAAACAGCAGAGACATGTTAACAAGCAAGCATGGCCATATACATGTCTTGCTATTTTACAATAGCACTGATATAAATCCAAACCAATTTGTCTTGAAGCTCTTGTATAAATCAAAAGCACACAGCACTTACCTGGAGAATTTTATTGGCTGTTATTACTGGAGCCTTGTCATTTACAGACTCAACAGTCACAAAAAGAGTCTGAGGCAGACTCTGTTTCCCAAGCTCTGAGCTGTTTGCCAATATGGTGAGGCTGTCCACTAACTCCTTGGTGCCGTTATGAACATAGTAAATCAACTTCTGCTCCACCTGAAACCAAAGCAACAAAATCACTCAATTCTAAACCATGACCAAACTGCTAAACAATAAGTCCAAGCTTAAGAATCTCCCTAAAGCACAGAAGCACATCTTCATCCCATGAAGTCTGAGTGGGCATCAGAGTGGGCACTGTGGTAGATGGCATCACACTTCACCCTGAAACACCATCGCACTCTAAGACAGGTGTAAGGAAAGGGAGAGAAACACCATATGGTGTAGCAACGAGAACGCTGGGTTGGTAGCAGAAGACTTGAGTTTAAGTGCCACTTCTAACAATAACGTGTGCTGGGTGTGCACAAGCCAGCCTTCCAACCAATGGGACACCACAATAAAGTTCAAGTTCTACTCGCTTATTTAAAGCAACTACATTTGAAGGTTTTGATTGTTTTATTTGGCAATTTCAACTGTTAGATCTAGGCTCTGCTGGGGCTTCATTTCTCTTCCTTGGAAACATGGATTAGGGAAACTATTAAGTTCCCCTAAACACATTTTCTGAGCGAAGGAGGCATTGTTTCCTTGATTGTTTTCTGTGTCTGAGGTTATGTGTGATTGTGAGTTTTAATTGTCAACTTGAGACAATCTAGATTCACCTGGAAAGAGGGGGCTCAAGGAGGAATTGTCTCTATTGGGTTGGTCTGTGGGTGTGTCTCTGGGGGGCTGTCTCAAGTTCACTGATGTAGGAAGACCCAGTCTACTGTGTGTAGCACCATTCCCTAGGCAGGGGGTCCTGAACTACTTAAGAGTCAAGACATTGAGCTAAACATAAGCAAGAGAGCAAGCAGCAGGGATGTATTTATTTATCTCTATTCTTGATTATGGAAGTGATACAGGTCTTGCCCCTGTAACTCCCCTACTATGATGAACTATTACCTGGAATTACAGGCAGAAATAAACCCGTTTCTCTCTAACTCACTTTTTGTGGGGGGTATTTTATCATGGCAACAGAAATGTAACTAGGACAATCTGCTACCTCCTAATCCTGAGCCTTCACTTTCATAATAAATCATGTGTCTCGTAAATTAATATATGTCTCCCATAGACAATCAGAATACATTACAATCAAGTTATTCTGCCCCAGAATATCTATTTCACAGTAATAAAGCAAATGTAACATTTACTTTTATCCCTGTTAGATTCCATCTTTTTTAATTTAAATTCTGAAATTGTCACTGGATAGTGTAGTTATTCCTCTTTGATTTATAGAAACCAAAAATCTGATTAAATACCTTTTCCTTCTTTTAGACTGAACTACTGGAAAATGCTGAAGACTACAGTTCAGTATCAGAGATCAAGGGCATGTTCAAGCTAGATGGGAATTTAGCTTTAATGAGTCTGCAACCAAAACACAATGGCAAGAACTTCCAATGCCCCAAAGGAGTTGTTGGAATTCTGGACAAATCTCTGGGGCTGTGTTTGTTTTGACAAAATTTAGCCAAAAAAACTGAACAGTGCCCATTCCTGTGTCGCACTTCCTTTGAGCAAAGCCTTTTGATCTTACAGAGGTGTTTCTGACAGGGGTGAAAAGTTCAGTCCCCTCCAGGTGCTATGTGTGTAGAAGATTCCAGATAACAGGCATAACCCCAGGTTCCTAGAATATGCTGTGTTACACTACTTGGGCCGATCACAAGATTGGAGAACTCAGAAGGGAAAGCCCTTTAGGAACACTGACAGTGCTCACTTCTGGGATACTTTTCCTGGAGAAATACATCACTCGCTCCAAATTACACACCGTTTAATGAGTAATTTGTTCCAAAATTGCACACCATTTAATATTTGACTGAAAGCTGGGAAAGGATGTCTATTCCTACCCTTTGAAAGTGAGAAAAGTATCTGCTGATAAGATGAAGGCCCCAGCCCTTCCTAGCTCCTTTTTCTGGTTTATTTATTTTTCCCTTAGTGCTAGTGATCTTCACCCAGCATGCTATGTATTTCACACATTTCTTGTCTCTCTAATTCCCTTGTTCCCCCACCTGGGGAGAAAACTCCACAAGGACAGGGGTTACTACATGATTAAATCCCCACTTTGTCCCTATCACCTAACACAAGACACTCACAAACTTCTTATGGAACAAATGAAGTCAGGATCTCTCCACTAAGACACTGAAGGCTATAGACATATAGGATTTGTGTTACTTTCAGTGAAAATGACAATATCTCAAAACCTAGAGTGTACAGGCATTACATATAAAGAGACAATGTAAGGAATCACCCAAAAAACAAGGACACATGAACAGGCCACATGATAATAGATGCCCCTGGGAACAAGTGTGTCTCCACACTCAGATTTCAACCAGCAATTCTCTTATGAACACAGTCAGTAACTGACTTGCCTGACATAGGACCCAGAGCACATGAGGTAAGTGTATTTGATTCAACTTACACCAAAGCAGATGGCTGCTATGGGTGGGTTTTCTGGACTTTGAGATGGAAGCCATGAACAACAAAGGCCTACATGATATGAATGAATAGTCATCTTCCTTGGGTCAGAGGGAGAAACTGCTCTCTTACCCTCTGCCATGTTTCTTCATGGCTTCCCAATGGTACCTGGGTAAGTCTAGCCTCCTTGACAGTTGATGTAGACTACACCTCCTAAGGACAGAGGTAGGAACCTTCCAAATGTAGCCTAAAGTAACTCCTGCCCCTCCTCAGTCTGTAGAGAATGCCTCAGCTCTCCAGATGTCCCCTCGTCTCTTAGGCTTCCATGCACTTGGCTATGCTGCTCCTTTAACTTGCATTGCCTTTTTCAGATTCCTAATCTGTTAATTCTGTGTTCTTTATCTAACTCCTCCAAGTCTAGATTGAACATCGTCCCTTTACAAATGGTTACTTACAATCTTGTCTCTGCTCTCCAGTTAGAATTGGGTATGCCAGTTCTGCACTCCTACAAAACTACTGTGAAAATACAACACGAGAGATAAGAAGAGAGCATCCCCAACTAAAGACAATGCATCTGGCTCCTCCATAGTGTTTCCTCAGGCAAGGAATATTTTCAGTTACCATGGTAACACATAGTGACTAAAACAGCAAGCCTTTAGTAAGTGGATTTAAATCCATTAAAAATACCATAACTTGTATTTTCGAAATTTCATTTACTTTTGTTTGGGTGTTGAGTGTTTTGCCTGTGTGTATGTCTGGGCAGCACTTGCACACCTGGTAGCCATGTCAGACCCCTCCCAACTACATTTACAGATGGTTGTGAGCCTCCATGTGGGTGCTGGGAACTGAACCTGGGTCCTCTGCAAAAGCAATCAATGCTTTGAACTGTTGAGCCAACTCTCCAGTCCCCAATTTAAAGTTCTTAAAGGCAAAATGAAGCAACATACATGCATTTTTAGCTGGAGAGGAAAAGGCAGGCAAATATGGTGGGAGGTTTATGAGGTTTCCATTCTAAAGCATCTGTATTGCTAGAGCTTTGTAAGAGAGATTTGCAGGCTAATTTTCAAAATTAAAAAAGATGGTGGAAATCATTAATTTATTTCTGTTAGAAAAAAAAAGTCTAACAAGCAAAGAAACCAGATAACAACCTTGAGTTGACTGGTTATTTTATCTGCTTTCATATCTGGGCGCCAGATGAGCAGTTGTATCCAGCTTGCTAACTGCCGGGACGGAGCCACTCTGGACACCTGTGGCCCCATGTTTAGAGTGTAGTATGTTCTGTGTAAAACACCTGGTGATTGGATGAAGGTGAAGTAGCTGGGAGCTCTCCTGGAGGTGGACATTAGTAAGGATGGCACCGTCAGTTCATGGCATGCAGTCAAAAGTCAGAAGAGCTGGGATTTAAGGGAAGCTTCCAAATTCACGTTAGCGAAAAGAAATGTTGAAATATTTTTAAGTTACAAAGTCCCATCTCAGGAAGTAGTAAATACACCGTCACTGAAAATGTGTAGGCAATGTTAACACTGTCCCTATGGGATGCTACAGACAGGCTTCTAACATCTTGTGGGAAACTAGACTCCAAGATCCCATCACCATAAAGCCTGTGAGTCTAATGATTACCAGTCAATTCCATACCATCCCTCCCCCTGGAAAAGCATACTCAAATATATTAACTGAGATTTATTACCTGTTTCCTGGAAAATTTCCTTAGCTTTACTCTTGGAAAACTGGAACTTTCAACATAACCATGCTTTGGTGGCTCGAAGAGAACAAATTCACAGTCAAGACTCTCAAAATACTTGCTTGGAATTCTGAGGTGGTCTGGTAGAAGTGCCTTGGAGCCCCCTTCCTGAACCGTGAAATTCTGTACCTCCAGCGGTATCCACTTAGGGATGATATCCAAATGCATTTCCACTCTCCTTACAAAGTGGGAGTCTTTGGTCACATCTAAGGTGAACTGATCCTTTTGTTGGCCTGGAGCTGTCTGTACATAAAGGACACTGCCATCATCAATATCCTGCCACGTGAAGCTCAGAGGGGACTTCTCATCTGTACCCACATCGGCGTCTTCTGTGGTAGATTTTTGGAGGTACCCATGCACTGGTGGAGTCCTGACTGTGAACACTACCTCTGAAGAGATACTGTCTTCATTCCCAGCCTTGTGTTCACAAACACAGCACAAGAAGAAAAGCACATGAAGAACTACAAGAGTCAAAGCCATTGATGAACCAAATGATTGCTCTTAATATTGACAAGTGGCCTAAGCTATAATTAGGGTGGTTGCTCAGCTTAAGGCTGGGTTTGATCGGGGGCCCAGGCCAATATCTGGAATATCACTCCTGATCACAATAAATAAATAAATGGTCAATGAGTAGCTATGAAGCTTTTGCACGCAGCAGTAAAATCCCTGAATATTCTAAAAGTTAAGGTAAAAGAATCAAATGTCACAAGGAGAGGGCTGGAGGCTTGCTTCGCATTAGCATGTGCAAGGCCTTGGACTTGACCTCCAGCACCACCGTGGGGGATTATAAAGAGAAAGAGTCAAAGACGGTTTAAGGAACAACAGTTGCGTCACTAAAATCACACAACTGTAGAGGAGAGTGCTTTTTCCGTTTAGTTCTACTTTCACTAGCTCAGCAGTTCCTATGCATTTCCATTTTATGGATTCAGCAAAGTCCATTTAAAATGGTTATTTCCAACTGATTTACAGTCACAAGAGGGAACATGCCCCCTTGTGGTGAAAGATATTAACTCTCTGAGCTTGAAAAGAAATCGTGAAAAGTTGGAGACTTCTATTTACTTAGTCAAGACTCCTCATTTGCCAAATTGATTCTAGCTCACACGCATCTCTGATATTACTGGTTACTCTTGGGCAGCTTGCCTGCAGTCCTAAAGACGGAGTCCGGATGGCCTGTGTGTCTGGCCAACTGTTAAAAAAAAATGTACTTGCCCATCCTACACCCTATAGGAGATTCCCTAAAAACAGCAGCCTGATCAAACTGAACCATAAAGCTGTGCCTACTAAAGTTTCAAGGTAGGGACCAGTACCCAGGGAGCAGGAAACCCATGGCTCTTCTCTCCTCCTGCTCCACTGGCCTACATCAGTTTCAGGAAACTAAGCAAGGCCACATCCAGAAATAAAGAAAGAGACTATGTAATGGTGTCCTAAGCTGTTTGGGAAATCCTTTTTATGTCTGTTAAACTACTGCTTCCCTCCATCATAGATTAACCCATATCAAATGAAATGTTGCTAGTACAAAGATCTGAATATATAATATACACTTCCCTCCCTTAGTCCTACACACACACACACACACACACACACACACACACACACACACACACACAGAGGGTATTCTCAGAAGCAAAAAAAAAAAAACCAATGGATTATTGCCCCCTACTAGTCTAAGTCAATAAGAATGCCCAGTGCTTTGACACCTACCTGGAGCTTTGCACTTCTCAGTTTTACTGATTTCCCTTCTTCAACTGTAACGCTCCTGCTGTGCAGAATCGGAGTGTGCTGTTGGTGACTCTCCAAGGCCACTTGGACACAAATGCTCACATCTAAGTAGGTATCTTTAACTTTCACTGTCAAGTTAAATATATCGAAGTTCCCATCGCCGCTGTGCCTATAAATCACGTATCCCTGCTTCAGGTCATGCTGGGTAAATGAGTGAAACACAGAATCGTTGACCAGGATTCTGCCATGTTTGGGGGGTTGCGAGATGTGGAATTCAAACTCATGGTCTGTTCTGACATCTTGGTTGGTGGTGACACTCAGGTTGGCTGTTGTGAAGCAGCTGTCCCTGCCTCTGGGCACAAGCAGCCCTGTGTTGTTGACTATGCGGACATAGGCCTCTGACACACTGACCTCGAAAAGGGATGATGTGTAATGGACACCATCCGTCACAAACAGCAGGAATCGGGCAGAGTCTGGACCATGGTGTCTGAAGAGCACACGCCCTTCCTGTAGGTCCTCTTGTCTGAACTGGTAGAGCTTCTGAGACGGGTCACTGGCTTTCACCAAATCTCCATTTGGTATGCCACGCCGAGTGTAGAGCAACTGCCCATCATCAAAATCTAAGTCAGGGTCATGGTAACAGAGGTCTGCTAGTGTCAGTAAGCGCTGGCTGTCCCGCACAACATGAAAGACCTTATCTACCACTCGCACTGGCTTCTCATCATTCTTCAACTCAATAGAAATGCTGACTCTGATTTCTGTAGACATGTGCTCAGAGTCAAGACTTCTGACCCCGCCCTTTTGACCCAGATCTGTGGCAGAGGCCAAAACAATGAATTCATCACACTGGGTCTCGGAGTCATCGTGAACATATATCAGCCTTCCATCCACTATGTCTTCATCTGTGAACCCATCGACACTATTGTCACTTCCCAGAGAAGCGGAAGAGCTGACTAACTTCAGTTCCCCATGCTGAGGATGCTTGGTGACTTCATATTGGAAGAGATGATTGTCCAATGTTTGAACAAATAATTCTGATTTTGTAATTAATGTCCATTCTCCTTCTTTCACAAACAACCCAGTGTTGGTTAAAATAATATGTGTCTTATCTGCTTTAAGGTTTATCCTGAAAGTATAATCTTTTGATTCTATGTGTTTTACAATAATTGAAAAACTAAAAGTATCCTGCGAGTCTTCCCCAGGTTTCCCCTGAGGCTCATAGCTTACCTTCGAGTCTGTAATGTTTTTTTGACTGAAAATTGAACTTGTTTGAAGAACTTCATTGCCAAGTAGCAAGTTTCCTTTCTTAGGTGGGCTCAGTAACTTGAAATATAGTTCCTGCTCAGCTACTTCCACACTCTCTGTTGCAGCCTGCAGATGGCCAGAATCCAATACTTTCTTGTTTGCATTGCTAATCTCTAGAGGAATATTTTTTAGAAGTGTCAGTTTCAGCAGCTGAACGGTGACAGGAAACAGGAGCTCTTCACTTTCTCTTCCTTCTATGATCACTTTAAATTTAAAGTGATCTGTAACATTTTCTTGCTGCAGTTCTTTGAATGAACTATAGTATCGGATGCAACTCCTGTCAATGGAACGTTGAGAAAAGGTACTAACTTTTTCCCATTCCCCGTTGGATCCCCGATACTGAATTTGGCCAAACTGAGGTGGACGAGTGATCTCATAGCGAGTGTCCATGTCATGTTGTTCACCATTCACCTTCACTGACAAGTCACTTTGCGTGATCAGAACTGAACCACCCAGTTGTACCACCACGCCAGTCCTACCTGCCACTTCAAAGTCCCAAGGAACAGCCATGACCCGTAACACCACAGTATTGCTAACCAGCTCACCATCAGTTGCTCTCAGAACAATCCGAGAGTTTCGATTACCCTTGTGCACGTAGAAAATGTTGCCATGTTGTAAATCCACCTGTGTAAAACCATTGATGGCTTTCCCAGGGTCATTGGAACTTTCTAAAAACCCAGCATCTGCATTGAAATTGCTAAGAACCAAAAGTCTGAGATGCCGAGAGTCGGTATCGGGGTCTGACACCTGTACCACACTGGGGGTCAGTTGTTTCTTAGAGTTCTCGAAGAGAAGCAAGTGTCCTTCTGGGAGCTTAAGGTATGGGGGGTCATTCACTGGAATGACAATAATGTTTAAAACATGTGGAGTGGGATTCTGCAACTGGGATAGTATTGCCTTCTTGCTGCTAGAAAAAACCCCAAATGTAAAAAAATCTGTAGGCTCTTCCGAGCCATCGTGAATATACCACACTTTCCCACGCCTCAAATCTAACATAGTAAAAGTCCTCTCCATTTCCTGTGCAGACTGAACATCTATTTGAAGGAAACCGTGAGTTGGCATTTCCTGTATTTTAAATAATATCTGGGAATAGTTGATACCCAGTCCCGTAAAGTCCATATTCACTTTTATATGCCTTTGTCCCAGTAAGGCCCGCCCACCTTCTTGGACTTCCAACGTATTCAAAACCAAAAAGCTGGCACTTTGATTTTTCAGAGGAGAGCTGTGACTGGGAACTGCAGCGGAAGGGGAGGGCTCTGGCTGAAAGAGGTCTCCCACTGTCACAGAAGGGTAAGCATCATGGACACTGCCACTTGTGCATCCAGCAGAAACGTCTTTGGAAACAAGTGCGTCCCTTAATGCTCTCTTCTCCAAGTTTGCTTCCAAGGCTCTCAGGCATCCTTTCAGAGAGGTGCCTCGAACAGACTTCCCAGGCACAGACACAAGGTCTAACCCCCTCACTGTTTCCCACATCCGGTGATTCAGGCCTCCCATGAACAGGGAGCCTTCAGACACAAACGCTTGGTTTTGCAGAGGCAGTGTGGTTCTTACCCCTTGTTCATCTACTGTGAGGTCCAGATGCCTCCTCGAGACTCTGAGTTGAACAATGTGCCACTTGTTGTCACTAACCAAGCGGAATGATGAAAGCTGAGTTTTTGTTTCCCCCTTTCCTACATGAGCCTTCAGTAGACCCTCATGTATTTCCAAGGCAACAAAATCTCTTCCTCTACCTGACTGAAATGAAAGCAAGGCTTGTTGGGTTCCAGTTTGCACAGAAAATCTCAGTGTCCCTTCCCCCTGTACCCTCCATTCTGGAAAGGCAACATAAGACCTAGAGCTGAAAAAGCTAATAGCTTCATTCTTCCCAGCAAAAAACTCATCATTACATCCCAGAGACACCTCATAAACCTTCTTGAAACCAGGGTAAGACCTAAGGGATGTAAGGACCTCCCTCTGGTTAAACAGCACACCCTCTATGCATCCTCGGAAGTTGGGGGTCTTTCTGTCCAGGTAAGGCACACTGAGTCCCCCATGACCTCCCACATAGATTCCATGGTGAAATGTGAAGTTACACATGCCCCCATCCAGTTGCCTCGTTGTCTCATAATGCTTGTCAACAACCAAGGAAACCTTATCCTTGCCATAGTACAGCTCCACCGAATGCCAAACCAAATTGTCCACACGAAGTCTTTGCTCAGAAAGGAGGAGCTGCCCACCCGTAGCCACATTTATTTTCACCTATGAGAGACAAGAGCCATCATTAATAAAACTCGTGGTGCGGCCTAAATCCCGAACCCAGCAGGGCTGAGAGGTGGTGAGGCCTCAAAGAACTGACTGGGATGTTAAGAGGGCCCAATGCAATGCTCTTCAGGAGAGTGAGTTCTAAGGAAACTGATTGGTGGCATGGGGTGGTATTAGAAAGGGTGGCATGGGGTGGTATTAGAAAGGGTGGCATGGGGTGTATTAGAAAGGGTTGCATGGGGTGTATTAGAAAGGGTGGCATGGGGTGTATTAGAAAGGGTGGCATGGGGTGTATTAGAAAGGGTGGCATGGGGTGTATTAGAAAGGGTGACATGGGGTGTATTAGAAAGGGTGGCATGGGGTGTATTAGAAAGGGTGGCATGGGGTGTATTAGAAAGGGTGACATGGGGTGTATTAGAAAGGGTGGCATGGGGTGTATTAGAAAGGGTGGCATGGGGTGTATTAGAAAGGGTGGCATGGGGTGTATTAGAAAGGGTGGCATGGGGTGTATTAGAAAGCAGGTCTGCTCCTTGCTTCTCCCCTTCACCAGAAGCCAAGCTGACTCTACCATCATCCTCTCACACACCCAGAAATGAACCTACTGCGGATTTCCTTTATAAAGAGCCTAAATTACCCGGCCTCTGTTATGTTATTATTTCAAGGGAAAGGAGAAGGGTTAGGGTTAGGGTTAGGGTTAGGGTTAGGATTAGGGTTAGGAATGAATTTGGACATGAAAAGCTTCTATAGTTATGGATTGCATGTTGAAGTGAAAAATTTCAAAGTCAGAATATTTAAGACACGCTGGAAAAACTGGAGACAATCCCACCCTAAATAAATGGCGTATCACTTTATTCTAGTGAGAAACAGGTTTGTTCTCTTTTTCTGTTGCTTTGTGTTCTCTAGTAACTGAATGCTTATTTATTTTAAAGATAAAAATAATAATAATAATACCTGTAATATTCCTGACAGAAGTTCTATTAGGCAATAGTCAATTTTCCCAGCTGCAAGAAACAGCAAGCCTTGTGACTTGCTGGTTTGAAATCTCAACTGAAGCGAAAGCCCAGAGGAAACTTCTGTGATGCTGAGCCCCACGTAGCTCTCACCATAAAAGGATGCTTTGGGAAAGAAAACACAGGTTAGTAAACTTGCTATACAATGACTATACTTTATATTCTCTTCATTGACTGACCCTGCTGAAGAAAAAGCTGCCTTGCCAAAGGCCACTCCCACTGTCTAGGGAGGTTCCCCCGACCCGGCATGGATGGATGAGGGGAGGCCCGCCCACCCGGCATGGATGTATGAAGAGACACAGCCCCTTGGGACAGCTCTGAGGGGTTCCTCTTCACTAGAACCCTCCAAAGGAGCAGCCAGGGCTTTCACTAGCCCTAAAGAGCACCTTGAATTCTTTATCTACACAAGTCTGCTCTCTTGCCTTGTGTGAGACTTGGTTCCAAGCCCCCCTAATAAAACTTTCACACCTAAGCTGCCATCTCAGATTTAGCTTCCCAGGCAACCTAACTGGCACTAGAAGTAGCCTCAAGAAGTAGACTCTGGAAGGGACTCTGATGCTGTACCACCCTCAATTGAAATGACAATTAAGATGAGTGTCACTGTCGATTGGTGGGGCTCAGGAAACCCTGGCAGTGATGTTAAAGTTTCATTGGTTATGAATTGGGATGGCATATAGCAGTGGCAGAGTGCATACAAGTCCAGCCATGAAACACTAAGCAATTAAAAGCAGAGGGTAAATACAGCTATGAGGACAATTAAACTGGGTACTGATTGACAAGCTTGAAGGTTGACAGAAAGACAAGCTGAGAGAGGTTAGTGTTAGTCATGACCTTTGTCCTCATTTTCCACAGGAGGAGGACAGAGGAAGTTAAGATTCACACCAAGGAACCAACCATCAGAGTAGCCAAGCTCAAAAAGTCTCAACTAAACAGCCTCGCTCTGAATAGGAGAAGGCTCTGGTTAGATCAAAGCCAAACTATTGTGTGAAACTGGAAATCCACACTGTTACCATCAAGTAGCCTGGCTCTCAGACCCGCTTGAGACCTCTGAGTCAATAGCTGTGGGTTATTCTCGTATCAAAGTCAGCAGCTCGGAGTTTGCAGAACCCTCTTTCCACAAGATACCATGGGACCTCTGAAGACAGACCCCATTGCTTCTGCCAGCAGCGAGTTCCCAAAGCAAAGGGCGAGTCACAACCCAGCCTACGGTGGGGATGTGGGATGGGAAGGGGTGGGGGTGTGGTCATGTGGAATAGATAATGTAGACTCAAAGAGAGTGCCCATTAGATTATCTCAGATGCCTCTTGGCAATAAATAAATGACGGTGGTCACCAAGGCATGCTGGCAAAGGCTCAAAGGAGTAAGTTGTTACATCAGGTAGCCACTGAAGCAAGAAGAAGCATTATTTGGAGTAAGGATCTACAGTGAATCAGGTAAAGGTAAAGGAAAATTACCACTCTGTAAAGGGAGGTTTTTCCTTGCTAGCCACTTTGGTTTATCCCCCACCAGCCGCCTGGGCTCTGCCGCGTTGTAGTCCCCAAATAATACACAAGACGCTGTATTAATTATGAAGCTGTTGGCCTTGATTTTTCTTACTGTCTAGCTCTGACTTAAGTATTTACCCCATAATTGTTAGTCTAAGTATTTCTCTTACCGGAGAAGTTTCCGGGCTTCTCATCCCTATGGCAGCTACATGATGACTCCCTGTGTTTCTCCTACCCAGAGTCCTCCTGGACTCCTAGTCCCACCTATCTTGCTTCCCTATTGGCCAACAGTGCTTTATTGACATATACACAGGACTTCCCCCATCACCACTCAGATATGACTCTCTGACTTTACATGACAGAGTTAATCCAAGTGATGTTTGGGGTAGCCCATGGTAGACTCTGAGACAGGCACTCTGATGAAGGACTTTGAAGGTTGGTATGAATGCCAGTCCCCAGCATCTTCAGAACCTTTGAGCCTAGTCAAGACTGTCACTGTGATGACATCACAGCCTAACCCCTCTCTTTCCAATCAGCCTCTTTCTCTGTCCTTTCCTTTACCCAGAGGTCAATCCAAAACCACATGTACTCCGAGCTTTTCTAGCCCATCTCTAATTGTGACGCACTGAATTGACAATTTGTACATTTATCCTCCATACTAGTCCATGAGCTTCCTAAGGTGAAGACTCTATCTTTCATATCTTTGTCCCTCTGGTCCCTGGCACAGTCCCTGGCACACAGGGAATATAATAAATTCAGTTGGTTCCCCTTTTGATAGGATACACGGACCCATCCTTCCATTGAACTGCCTTGTACAAAAACTAGGAACCCGCACCAGCTAAGCCAGAAGACTAGCCAGTGACTGATTAAGACAGAACTCAGTGTTAACATGCATAGTCTAGAGCTGAGGGTGTATCAGCTGACACCACATCTTTGCTTGGTGACTCCTGCCCTCCATTGCTTCTCTTGCTTCATTACATTCTCCCATGGGAGAAATCACTCAGATTCCTCCTATCTCAGGCTCTCTGGCTGAGGAATCTGACTTGAAATATATGTAGAACCAGCATGCATTTATTTAACTGAATTACACTGGTTTAGCAAACCCTCCATTTTATAGTTGAGCAAAATTTGATCTCACTTAGGAATTTAGGAAAAGGCATGGGGGAAAGCAAAAGTTTAGGTATTTTTCTGGTTTTATTTGTATTTTTTATTACCAAAACATTAAGTTTCTACAAAGGTGAATATGGCCTCTGCAGAGTTCTCCAAACACCATAAGCACTATATCTGTTAGAATGGTCACAAAAGTAGAGGGATGTGACAGGTTTCTGGAAACTCAAAGTCCCTCACCCTTGCAGCCCCTCTCAGGTCCTTCCATATGTCTCAAGGGACACTATCACCTAGAGTTTGCAATCACCTTCTTCAGAAAAAAAAGTTGACCCACTTCCAAAGTCAAGGAGACAGTTTCAGTGAGCAAGATGGCCACACAGATGTTCCCAGTACTCACCTCTTTCCATAGAGAAGAGTCAAAGCAAGAGCTGAATGGCCACTCTTGGAGGTAAGTGACCCCAAACAACTGGACCTCAGCAAGGTCTTTCCCTGGCAGTCAACCCTTGAAAGACACTGTAAGACCTGGGATGACAGTATAGAAAGAAATATAAAGCATCCCAACTCCTGACACTAGGCTTTCCAGCCAGGGGAGGGGGATTCTGCTTTGTGGGGAAAAAACGAACATAAGTGTCCTGGCAAACTCCATGATGGCCACTGCTGGCATTGGTAGCTCCTGGGACATTTCCTAGCCATCACAGGTTTGCAGCCTGGTTAGGGCAGCAAACTGGAGCCTACACATCAGCTTTGCTTTTAAAAAGGAATTCTCAGCCAGGCGTTGGTGGCACACACCTTTAATCCCAGCACTTGGGAGGCAGAGGCAGGCAGATCTCTGTGAGTTCGAGGCCAGCCTGGTCTACAGAGTGAGTTCCAGGACAGCCTCCAAAGCCACAGAGAAACTTTGTCTCGAAAAACCAAAAAAATAAAAAATAAAAAGGAATTCTCATCATCTCCTCCTGAACTTCCATAGCATAGGCTTGGTTCCAGCTTAAGAGGCAGCTGCTATCTAATAGTGCTGGAGGGAGTGTAAACCCTGTTCCCTTTCATCTCTGGGCACCACTGTCATTCCATCAAACTAGAGGGAAGGACTGCAGACTCACAGACCCAATTTGACCCAGCACAGCAGCTGTAACCCTAGCAACTAAGACTTCTCCACACCTAGCACTGTAGGGACAGACATCTCACACCTGGAGGGGATAGAATGATGGGGAGTTCACTTTCCAGAACTGAGAGTCCACAGTGCTTATCCACTGGAAACAAGGAGTGTGCAACCTTGACTCGGGCCAATACCAGGCCTGAGGGTGCTTAACCACCCAAATAGTCTCAACCAGTGGATTAACCCTGTCCTGAGTTTGATGCTTTCTACTCTTCCCATCGGGGCCAAAAGACAGTGTCCAAAGTACTTATGCAATCTCACCTCCATAATCCACAAGTGGTTTAGATACCTCTACTACAGTGGTTCTTTGAAAAACCTTTATCTCCAAAAATATTTACATTATAATTCATAACAATAGCAAAATTACAGTTATGAAGTAGCAACAAGATAATTTTATGGTTGAGGTCACCACTACATGAGGAACTGTATTAAAGGGTCGCAGCATTGGTGAGGCTGAGAATCACTGCTCTATCATCGTCCTGTCTCATACTACCTTCTCATCTGCAGTGTGATGACTCCAATTGTTAGAGGGATTACACAGTGGACACCTGCCAGAGCCACAAAAATGTTCCCACATGCACATGACCACCAGATCGATCTCTCTCTCTCTCTCTATCTCTATCTCTATCTCCCACCCTCCTCTCTCTTGATTTCTCTTTCCCTGTGTAACCTGACTGTCCTAGAATTAGTTCTATAGACAGGGATGGCCTCAAATTCAGAGATCCACCTGCCTCTGCCTCCTTACATGCTGGCACTAAAGTCATGAACCACCATGCCTGGATCAACAGTGGGTCTCTTTAACTCTGCCATACTAGGTGTTGTACCTGTATCATTTATTAAAGTCAGGGAAGCAATAAAGACTACACTGCTATGCCCTAGAACTAAAGTCAATACCACATACCACAATGTAGGAATAAAATAAATTTAGACAGAAAAAGAATATGGCAACATGATGTATCCAAGAAAACACATCATTCTCTTGCACTAGATTCAGAGAAAACATAAATGAAATGCCTGATAAAGAATGTATTTAAAATGATGATAAGGAAGCTGAATAAGAATCAAGAAAATACAGATAAGTAAAGCAAGACCAGAAAAACAATAAATGACACTTAGTGAGAAATTCAGCAAATGAGAATGTGGTATATTCACACAGTAGAGTTTTATTCAGTGATAAAGAACAAAACTGTGCTATTTGTAGGAAAATGGATGGAATGGAGATCTCCATTTTAAGTGAAATAAGCCAGACTCAGAAAAACATATGTTATATGTTTTCTCTTGTGTGAAAAGTTTAGAATATAGACATAGATATATGACATGAAAGTAGAAGGAAACTGTTTGGGAAGAGGAGTGTACCATGG